AGGGACTGCTATTAACAAGTAAATAAAAGATTATGACGTGTCGTGAAAAACACAAGGATGACCTTCATATCTCTTCAGCGACTCTATCTACAAAACAACTGTTATAACCATACGATGGTTTCTTTCGTAATAAACAATTTTTATTGAAAAATGTTTTTTTCGTATAGTCGAACCACGGTAACTCGAACCTCTACAACTCGAAAATTTCTATAAGACTAGAATTTTGGTCATTACCTTCTGCTTTCCTGTAAAAACCTCTGCTCGAAATCGAAATATAAACTTTCTATAACTCGAATTATTTGTTACACGTTTAGATGCGCTATTTTACCTCTGTAACTCGAATTCAGAGAAGTTTGACCCTTGCAAGTCGAAGTTTACCTCTATAATACAGATTTTTTTAATAGCTTAGATACAACGCAAATTGCCATTTATTTTTTATTTAAAATTTATCTTTTCTTTATGTTTATATGTATAAGTATAAATATCCAATAAATATGTACGTAATTGACCTCTAAAGGTTGAACTTATCTTCCGTTGGGCTTCTACAATTCGATAAATACTAACCCACGTACAAAGTCTCTGTAAGCCGAATTTTCGTTCGTTAAACCTCTCTTACTCGAAAACTTCGCTAAGACGAAACCTCTATTATTCGAAGAGTTTAGCTCTTCCCTTGAGATTCGAGTTGCCGAGGTTCGACTGTACTTTCATGGATCCGGAGATATTCAAAATGGTAATTCTTATTGGTTGTTCAATTCTGACACGTCGTCGAGAATCGACTGAAAATGTAGCGACTGTGTGATCGCCTGAACTTTTTGCTCTTAACCTTTTTTGTGTTCTGCTGTCTCGTTGGTGCGTTGCCCCGGTCAGCCCTCGCATTTCCCCTTCCCTGGCCGCATTTGGGTCCCTTGACGGGGGTGAGTTTTGGGTGGGAGGCTAAGACCCACTCACGTTTGGGCCTTGGTCACCGCCCAACGCCAACCACTCACCCTCAAGGAGGGGGTGTTTTGCGTGAAGTACGCGTCACCTGGGCTTATGGGAAAAACCCAGGGCCCTATGTGCCTTGGCTCGCGCGGGTTTATGATACGTCAATTGCTATTGAGATGCACGAAGAAAGCTCCAAATTCTCCGCTTTTACGAGAGGTTTGGAGCCCTCCCGACAGTAAGGGATAATTAACGAACGAAAACATTAAACGCGTATTCAAACCTTAATCTCAAAAATAGCAGAGAGTCGCGTCCGTATTGTAAACTTGGTCTAACTTCAGTATCCTTAACATTGGTCCACTCTGCAGAATCGTACACACTTGCATTATAAAATGTCGCCGTCACTTCTTTATTACATTGCAGTTCCTTTACTTTACTCGACCATAATTCAGTTAAATTGTTTATTAATTTGTTCTTTACCACCAAGTTTCCAAAGATTCTTCACATTTCAGAGCCCTAACTACACATTCCTTCTTCATACTAACGGTAAGACCACTGTATAGCTTCATTTATGCTGAAAATTATTTTTCTTTGAAAAACTATCTGACTTATAGGGGAAACTCAGTGCTGAAGTTGAGCCTCACAAGTAAACTGTTTATAGCTTCGCTATTTTCGCGAATTTTAGTGACACACTTGACATTAGAAACACATTCTGTGAGAAGAAATTATGTTTATGGTGAGTATGGCATAAACTTACCTACTAGTATTTTCTTTGCATCTTCAGATCAAGGAAGTCTATTTACATCTCACACTATTGTATTTCTTTGGTTGTAAACGTTTGATAAGTAAATTTAATTACATTACTCAATTATATTTTACTCTTGTATTATAGATATACAAAATAAGTTGTGTAAAGCTAGAACTTAAAATATCTTTGCTACGTTTAATTATACGAAAATATGTCTTAAAAATGATCAAAGTTGCATTCTTCAAGATTCTGAGATGATCGATACCTTTTTAACAGTTTCTCAATCTTTGAATTGTCTGAGATTACAAAAACAGAATTTAAATGATTTCACAAGTTTTTATATATTTACTTCACAAGGAGACCGAAATTAATACCCTTAGTAATCAGTCGATATATTTTCGAATTATAAATTAATTGTTTCGTATGTTCGATAAATTACAAAATAATGGCGATACAGGGGTGTTAAATTCTTATTCATCGGTTATTGCGAGTAAGTATTAGGTCATCCCATAAGTTCGTGTCGAATTTTATAATTTAGATCAATATTTCCAACAAACCTTCAAATTTTCGGGAAAAAATGTAAGTCTCTTCTCGTTCCATAACTTTTTCCTATTTTTGTTTTTGATTAAGACCATTATGTCATCGTTATAGAATTTCCTTGAACTGTCATTAATGTATCCTTCACTTTCGACACGAACTTATGGGTGGACCTAATATGTAAATTTGTTTCTTCAAGTGTCCTTACAGAGAAATGATTATTTTAAATGCGTCCTAAATTCTCACCATATGAACATAATTTTAGTTATGCAACGTTAGTATCTGTCTATATGATTGTATCTGTTTTTTTTTACCAATTACGATACTACCGTAAAAAAGTAAGTTATTCGTATATACGATCAAAATTATTTTTAAAATTAATTTCAGAAAATCGCAAAATTCTTTGAAATTCTGAAAAGTATGACTTTGAGAAAGAATCTTCCTCACTGCGATATTTACCTACTCGTTGAGAACAAATTACCTTTTCCTCGGATAATCCGTTGTATCATTAAAAATACCTAGGAAAAATATTTTCAATTCAACTCCAGAACGGCTCGCTGTGCATATGAAATAATAACGCTGGCATTTTTTAATAATGTTACACTGACGTTACGATGTAGTCACGTGTTTACATTCGATAGCTGTCTAAACTGCATTGTCGCTCCATGTGCGCGCAGAAGACAAAAGGAGAGAGAGGCAGAGAGAAGGTGACCTTAATTGGATCGAACTTTAGTAGATAAATGCACGCAATTTGTTGATGCACCTTCAATGATTAATACTTGAAAGGACTATTAAAGTCCATCCAATAAATTGCTTAATTTCTGTTTTCTACATTTTGTACTTTTTCCCTCTGTAGATATTCTTTGTGAATTTGTTCAGTTGACCTGATTCATTAAAGCGATTGTTATCTTTTTTACTCTAGATTCATCTGAACGATAGACATCGTTCTTCTCGTTTTCATTGGAAAAATTTTCACTCTTTTCTCTCTTTTCCACTTTCTTTTTCGTGTTTCTCAAAGAAACTCCCGAAACTGTTCTGCAAATATCCGTAATTGTTCCTTACGCTTTATGAAATGTTAATTTGCAACTTTGGAAAGCAGTACAGGTTATTTACCTTATGCACAAAACACTGTGAAATATTATTTATACAACATATCGATACCGTTCATCATTTCACGTGTTTAAATTTTCTATAGTAATACACATTAGGTTTCGCATTGCGGTTGTAGAATAGTTGGAAAAATTTGGAATACTTCTGTGCTGATGGTAAAATGGGATAACACTACCGGCCAAAAGTTTGGAATCACCGAGCATTGCAATTTACACAAAAATTTGCAGAAAAAAGTCAGCGACTTTGAGAATTTTTTATCGTTCGAATCAATTGACATGAGATAAATTGATAAATGTAGAATTGAGATGAACTTGAAATCTGTAAAAAATTAGCAGCAGATTTAATATTGATGAAAAGTGGAAGGTGATTCCAAACTTTTGGCCGGTAGTGTATATTTGTGAAGTATAAAAGATATCTGAAGTGGAGAAAAATCGGTTAGAAAGTTTTTAACCGTTTCTTCCATGTATTAACACTGTAGCACTGCCTTTTAAATTGTTGCAGCTCGGAATAAACACCTCAATTACACGAAGTGTATCTAGTCGTACCAGTTTACTCATTACTCACCGACGAAGTAACCCGTTGCTATCAAATTCGTTCAATATAATAAAGGAAGACAGTAACTTCTTTAACGAGCAACTGCAGCAAGTAAAAGTTGAAGACGTGGCTATTTTACTAATTATTCGTTAATGATTTTACTACTACTACTATAGAAAATACATGTTACAGCATATTAGGTATAGTTCATTCTTTTGAATATAAAAATACAATTTTTTACCCGTATATTGTTACTTTTAATGTACATCTGAAGGATTAATAAATTGACTCGTAAACTGCGAATTTAAATATTAGGTTGGCAACTAAGTTCCCGCCGTTTTTTTAAATTTTAACATTTCGCATGTCATTAAATGTTTTAAATCATTCGAAAGAGGATGTTTTGTTCTACCGGAATCTTCTTTGTTCGAGTTAATTTATGTTAATTTCTGTTAATTTTCAGATCATTAAAATGTCAAGTTGAGAAAAATGAGCATTTTCGACACCTCCTTCTTTTTGCTTTCAATCAAGGTTCTAAGGCCGCAAAAGCTGCTCGCGGCATTTGTGCTGTGTATGGAGAGGGTGCCATAGCTGAAAGAACCGCTCGTGACTGGTATGCCAAATTCAAAAATGGAAATTTTTTATGACTATTAAGTGATAACTATTATTGACTATTAAGTCAAAACCAAATGCAAGATTTTCTTGAATTAAATCAGAATTCAATGGATTAAAGAGACGACTTAGAAGCCCATTAGACGGTTAAATAGGCAGTGAAATCGTGCAAAAACAAAAGGTCAAGCGAGTGAGGGAGTTCACTAGCGCCATGTAAGTATTACACATAGTTGATACTCGCTGACAACTGCGAGCATCACAACTTGCAAATTCACTCGCTGGCAAACGGTGAGTAAGGTAGCTGCGTGTAATCAAGACTTAAGTTGCAACAATTTAAGAGGAAAGTGGCAGTGCCAGCAGCAAACTGTTCTCAGCTTTCTCCAGTTTATTCGCTCGTAGAGCGCGTTGGAGACCAAAGTGAGAAATCATTGAAAACTAGACCGAGTAGAATACAGTTAGAAATGCTTCACTTCGTAGAGTTAGTTTTAAGAAATAATGGAAATAGCTTTACAGTAACTTGAGACACTGTGCAGCATATTACCTGATTGTTACAGCCAAGAGGACGATGATGACACCGACTAACACCAAGGCGATCAGTACACCGCATATCATGTATATGGTATCGACGGGAGGATCTGCGGCAATAAAAACAATTAACTGTTATTATTAATAAATTGGAAACATGTGATTATGATTCGTATAAGGCTGCGTATTCGGGCGAATTGACGAATAAAACATCTGAAGATTGCAATGCAATGCATACATTCACAAGAATCTACATATGTACATACACTACCGGGCAAAAAGTTTGGAATCACCTTCCACTTTTCATCAATATTAAATCTGCTGCTAATTTTTCATAGATCTGAAGTTTATCTAAATTCTACTTTTATCAATTTATCTCATGTCAATTGATACGAACGATAAAAAATTCTCAAAGTCGCTGACTTTTTTCTGCAAATTTTTGTGTAAATTGCAATGCTCGGTGATTCCAAACTTTTGGCCGGTAGTGTATTTGATTACTTTGACGTATTGAGTTCGTCAAAATGCCAGTTCGTATTCACTACAACCACAACCTAACGCAACGAAAAAATTGTGACAGTGCTCGTATCGTAAAATGGACTCGTATAACACGACACATAAGTTTACATTTTCACAGTGCAGCAAAGTTTCCGAGATTGACAGTACATTACATTACGTGGTGATCGTTTTATGGTGTACATACCGTAACTGCGAGTCTTAAAGCACACATACTAAAATAGTCACTCTTATCAAGATTCTCAAATACACGACATACAGAGGATACTTGTGAATATATAAAATACTGTAAATAATATACTTGTGATTATGCGTAAAAAAAGAACGCGACATTCACGAATACAACATTCTCCTCTCCTTCGAACCAGTGAGAGATAACACAGCGCCAAGATCACTGACAGTAAGTATAATACATAGCTTGTTCAAGTCTACGACGCAACAAACTCTGTAGTTGAGGAGATAGTGAGTATTTCTTATCTGGATTAGGTTGGTTCCAGGTTTAAAGACGACCTTATAGATTTTGGAAATTTTGTGTTTACTGAAAGAGCTATACAGGGTGTCCCGTAACTCCTCGAAAATCCGGAAATGGGGGGTTCCTGAGGTGACTCTGAACAACTTTTTCCTTTACCAAAATGTTGTTTGAAGCTTCGTTTTTGAATTATTAACGAAAAACACTGGCCAATCGCAGAGCTCGCGCTCAGGGACGAAGAACAGAGGCTCACCCGGGCGCGATCGAACAATGCGTACGCGTTAAATACGACCTTCGCTATTTTCTTCACGATTCCGACTAATTGGAGTTTTTTCAAGAATTTATACAAACGTCGAAATGACGGCAAAAACCCATTTCTCTAAGCCTTATAAAAATAGCGGTGCAAAGTGAAATTTTTTTGACAGCGATCGATAACCGAGTGAATCTCTGTTCGCCCGTCCGTGAGAGCGGGCTCTACGCGCGCTCTGATTGGCCAGTGTTTTTCGTTAATAATTCAAAAATGAAGCTTCAAACAACATTTTGGTAAAGGAAAAAGTTGTTCAGAGTCACCTCAGGAACCCCCCATTTCCGGGTCTTCGAGGAGTTACGTAATAATTCAAAAATGAAGCTTCAAACAACATTTCGGTAAAGGAAAAAGTTGTTCAGAGTCACCTCAGGAACCCCCCATTTCCGGGTCTTCGAGGAGTTACAAGACACCCTGTATACAGTTATTTGGTTCGAGACCCTTGGCTTTGATCGCCTCGAGGATCCTACCTGTAAGGGTTTTGGTTAACCTTTTTAGGACTACGGCCAGAAAGAAGCTTCTCGGTTGCTACAGAATATGCGTGGAACTGGATATTTTTCAATACACAGGTATTTTTAAAGTTTAAGAAGTCTTTGGCTTCTTGAAATTGGATTTTTATTTCGGAGTTACAGTTTTTCGCAAAGAATTTCTGCCCACACTTTTTTCGGGAGTATCTGTGAATTTAAGGTGATTTATTTTATCACCGTGTACGAAGATAGGAGGGGATTTTGTGTGTGTTTTAGTTAGCGTCTCGGGCTTGGTTGATGTTTTAAATGTTTTTGGTTTGGCTTTGGGAGCATTTTCATGTCCACCGCTTGCCGATATGCTGTGTTCCAGGCTTCGGGTTTATGACACGTTTATTGCTACTAAGCGTGTAGAAGTAATATTTACCTAGCAACCCATATGGCCCGCAGAAATGCACAGCTCCTGCGTCCATAAAGTAATTTTCAGACCTTGACTTCTGGTTTGAATAATCAATTGTAACGCGAAGATCTTAGCAGAACGCTTAAAAAATAACGTTACCCGACGTCCATTTTATAAACGCGATCGGTTAAACATACATTTAGAGTGAAATTATTTTCCTTTCTTTTATTCTCAAGTAATATTATATTTTATCAAAACTTGCACAAGTTATATTATTTTATATTCTACTTGTTGAATACTTGTAGAATAATTGCTACGAATATTTTCAGGTAAAAATATATATTTTTATGACGTCACGCCTGTACTCTATTAGAATGGCTTACAATGTTCATTCACTGTAGAGTATTGATTTTTAAAGCAGCGCCCTTTAACATTTATAATTCAGTATAAAATTAGTGTGGTATGACGTAGAGTGTGTATGTGACGTAGAGCGTACATGTGACGTGAAATTTACATGACGCAAATTTTCATTTTCAACGGCTACCTTTTTCATTCATTTATAAATATTAATGTACCGTGATGGGTGATTCTCGTCATCAATACTCGTTGAGTTAGTGTAACATCGTTCAATATACAGAGCGAATAACGAGAAACAGAGCTCCGAAATAACTCCGTCAGAGTCGGAGATAGTAGAAAATAGGGTACGGTAAAGTTGCACTATCCAAGAAAGCAAGAATAAACGTATACGTACTGGTATAAATAAATTTCTCCTTTCGCGTAATTTTCTAAGTCATTTGAAGGTTATCAACAATTTTCTGAAATGACATCATAAATTTTATACCTCGCACAGCATTGCAGCCCGAAGCAAGTTCAATAATTATGACACTCTGACCTTCGGATAACTCGGGGTTCAAAAATTTCAGATCGATCAATGGAAACTTTACTGTTAAATTAGTTTTATCGAAGATGCAAACTACCCTTTAAGCAATATAAATACCTACATACAGAATGTATAATATAGAATGGCACAAAGTTTTTTTTTTTTTTTTTTCTGAAACTATTGACCTTTTGAGTACGGGAGAGAGTCGCCACGTGGGGTACAGTTGGTGGACGCGATATAGCGAGGTTGTACATAAATTATTTTAAGCTACATTCGCTACATTAAGCAGCGACACAGATTGATGTAGCCGCAATTCAGAGCCCCACGAGTCATTTGTGAATTGACATCTAAAATTTCTGCTTACAATTTTTCATTTAAGATATACTGTATTAAGCCTTCGTCGCTTCCTGCTCGATAGTAATTTCCGTATTGGTAAAATTCACGGTAGTGGTACCGACAGTTCTTCGCGAATATCTCGGAAAGTAAGGCTGAGCGGTGGTTATATGTATAGGAAAAAGTTGTTCAAAATGTTGAGCTTTCCTCGTTGAGATATCCGACGTAAAATGGATAAAATTATAGAAGATCCTGAATACGATGAAAGGATACCTCGAAAGTAAATATGATTATAGATAAGTGTAATGAAAATGTTAATCTTCTTAATCGATGGCATAATTAATTTTAATTTGTTACTAATTTATTAATTTGTTATTAGAGTAGCATAGAGGAACAATATCTTACGTTAATTAAATGCTACTAAAACATTTAAGAAGTTCGCTTCTTGAAATTCATAAAATCAGTGTTAATTAAGAATAATGAGTTTTAATTAACTTTAATCAAATTTCTAACAGTACTAATTTATTAGAATTTCAATCGGCGAGGAATTAGAATTCGGCGAGGAACACTAAAGGACTAAAATATTTACCAATTAACCTGTAGCTGTCAATAATTACGACGCAGACAAATTTTTTAAATGCACCAATGAAGGGACCAATTCAAAATGAGGTCGACAGGCCCTGAGTGAGTCTCGAGCTCCTTGTCTCTCTCGAATTGCTGTTTCGAAGCTCGGATTACGTGTATTTTGACGCCTGATTAATTTTATGACCTCACTACATCGATTTCACTGACTATACTGCCGTCGGGCTCCGTGATAAGGCGGATGTCAAGGGAGGTTCCTTCAATTTTTTTAATCCTTGCATTTTTCAATAGATCTTATTTAATGCAACAACATTTACTCACTAGACGAAACATTTGCTCATATTTCGTATAATTAAAATGTTATACCACAAATATTTTTCAATAAACAAACTCGAAGATCAGAGGTGTTAATGAAAAAATCATTTTATTTATAAAATTACAGATTTTGACAACGCTACCCACACACTTCCAAACAATTTTTAATTCATTTTTCAATACTGTTTCAAAGATTAATTAAAATTTGTGATATCACTGAAACACAAGCTCTTCCAATTATGTTATAACCATAAACAATGAAATATTATAGAAAGAAATCTAACAGTGCAAGATTAGATATCGTGGTGATTAGAATAACACCATCTCGTGAATATCAATAATATAACTAATCAGATTAATGGAAGGGAGAAGAAAATATATTGTAGTCATATTCGTCGAACTATTTCTCGAAAAATAGGAAAAGAATAATAGTTTTTCGAACATTTCTCGTTCACTTTAGAGGATAATATCCTTTATGATATCTCTATTCTTGTATCATTCTAACGTGATATAAGTTCTATTGTCGTGAAATTTCGATGTTATAGAAACTAACAGAAAAATTGACTCAGAATTTACATAGTGATGGTGTCATCGTAGCACTTTCCTCAGGAACCCTTTTTATCGCTGTAATGTGATTCAGACGACCATGTCCTACATCCAAATGAAGCAAAGTGAATGGTGTACAGTGAATTCAAATACGAAAAGATACAAGAAATGGTTATAAAATTAATCGTAAAGTTATTATTAAGAAATCAGCACAATTACTTAAAATACATTTCTTTATAGAATAAACCAGAACCATTTACTCGTAACATTTAATTCTTTTGTTAATACTAAACATTTTAAATAC